TTTTTTTTTTTTTTTTACTCTCATTCAGCGCAAGTCCCGGAAGAAAATATGCATCCTCATTCTTATACTTGCAATAGGATTAACGGTCCTTGGGCTAATTATATGGGCATCAGTAAAGTAAGGATAAATTATGCAAGAGCTTCTGGTCATGTCCCATTGTGAAAGCTGTTCAGTAAATGATATGTCAAGCTTGATAATTTCTGCTTTATCACAAGGTGCATTTTTAATCCCAAGAGTGCTTTTTCTTGGCTTCTATATTAGGATTAATTTGAAATTATCACATCTATCTAATTCACCAATATTTAACCCTGGGATAGGCAAGTTTTTATATAGTACCTCCTTTTCATTTCTTCTCCTCTGGGCCAAACTACTTGGAATACTGCATACAAGGACATTTTTACCTCATTGGATCAAGTGGGTCAACCTTTCACACATGGATCAAAAGCTAGATAGAGGGTGGGTGCTGTCAGTTGTCAAGCACCAATTTAATCTATCAATTTAATTGCAACTTTATAGGAACAAATACTTTTTTAAAAAAACAAAGGCTGTCTTTCTGATAGACATGTCATATGTCTCATCTTTGAGATATCATGTATTGTTTATTGACTCCATAAATCATAGAACTATCTACATCAGTGTTTCTCAACCTTGACAATTTTAAGGCATGTGGACTTCAACTCCCAGAATTCCACAGCCAGCATTGCTGGCTGTGGAATTCTGGGAGTTGAAGTCCACATGCCTTAAAATTATCAAGGTTGAGAAACACTGATCTACGTCCATTTAGCTCACTCTGTGCCAAGCTTAGTTCTAATAGGTTCTTGTATTGTCATTTTCTGAAATGCATTTCTCCTGTTTCTCTTTTGCTTATAAATGTTGTCTTTCTATTGCCACATTTCGATGTATAAACATGATACTGGGTATCAGCAAGCCTGACCAATTCTCATTGAACAAGAAAGCTTGGGGAATGTAGATTTTTGTATGTAACTTTAAAGTTGAGCATTTGGGACACACTTAAAATTAGTTGTTTGCACCTTCATTTGTGCACTCCTTAGGCGGTTGAAGTTAAAGGCTATGGGCAAAGTTAACGTGTATAGCTGCTTCAAATTTACCTAAACTTTATATGGTTTAGATGCCCGTAGTCTGCACTTCTCTCTTTAGAGAACTATTGTTAGTTATGTTGTGGGACACAACTGAATGAGGCAATAGGAGCTCTCTGAGTGGATCTGAAATCCTACATTCCTGTGTATATTTGTGACCCACAGGGCCCCCAAGAAACTTTTAAACTGGGAGTGAAACATACTCAAATCATCTGGCTCCCTATCTGCATGACTTCAGATTAAAGGGGGAGATCTTGCGTAGAGCAATCAAGAACAATTTGAATTATACTTGAATTATTTCAAACAACTGCCACTATGAACAGCAGATCTTATATCCCATTTTTAATAAAGCAGTTAATCCTCTTTTCCTCATCATGTAACTACTTGGGTACTAAAACGTTTGATTTCTGAATAATTATATAAAGTTTAATTGTCTCAAGATTAAAGGTTTTTAAAACTGCTTTTTTGGGGGTGCCATCTTGAGATAACTTAAATTTAAAAAGATGTTATTTGCCAGCTAATCAGTTCTTTGCTTTTTTAAAATGTATTGAATTGTACTATATAAATTAAACTTATTAAATTACTGTATAAACGTTACATTTTTGTACAGCAGTTTACCGGATAAACTCTTTTGAGACTTAAGATTTTGGGGGGAACTAAAACCAAACCTGGATTATACCATCTAAATAAAGATACCTTAAAAAGTGAATATGTTGCTATTTATGTTTTATTGTTATATCTTATGGGTAATGTTTTGGAAGGAGGGGATCATAGGGTGAAACATCCTCCAGAAAAAGAACACCAACAAGGCTAGGAAAAATAATGCTGCATTATTTGAATTTTCTACAAATGTCCTGATGGTGGTAGTGCTGTTACACTGATTCTCTTTTATAGATGGGTCTTTGCCATAAGGCAGACCCCTTGTCTCAAGGGACCCTAGCAGTTTAGCTAAAGATCGTACATGCAATATTTCCCCTCGTGCAGAGAGTCAACTACAATTCTGTTTGTCATTTTATAGGAAAAAATGTAAAAACTATACATCACTAAGAACTCTCCGGTCTAAATTCCTAAAAGCACATTTGAGCCTTGGGAGAACCAGAACACATTTTGGTTGAGTTCCCTGAACATAAATAGAAATTGCCTAGATTAGTTAATCTGTGTTCTTGTCCTTGCATTCTGCTTACCATGGCACAAACATTCCTTACTAATTATTTCTGACAGACATGAGCTCATGATGTCACCTCTACTTCATTCTCCACCCACTGCTGAGGCAATGTAGAATCATCATTAGTTGTTTGACTATGGAAGGAGTGGCTTTTTTTCCGGGACTGTGACCTGCTCAACTCTAAATGGCCATGTAAAAACTTTCCTTCCTGTCCGGTGACTGGACAATGCAAATTTACATCCATTTTGTCTCAGCTGCATATGAGACCCTCCATTTAACTTCATTTTTCCCCCAGTATTCTAGGCTTTATTAATAGGAATATCAACCTAAAGGGAGGCTGGTACTTTAAGAATCAAAGTTAATGTCCCATGGAAGCCTCTTTAGGTCCAGGGTCACCTCTAGACATTTTGGTGCACTAGGCGAAGTCATATTCTGACATCCCCTATAGCTTGATTCATCTTCTGGCTTTGTTAGAAATTTCAGGAAGGGTCCCTCTAGGGGTTTTGTTTTTAGTTTTTGAGTTTTATACTAACGATTTTCAGTTTTTTCCCCCTTTTCTCTGATATGTTCATCATATTTACTATATTATTATTATTATTATTATTATTATTATAATAATAATAATAATAATAATAATAATAATAATAATAATAATAATATAGTTGGAAGGGACCTTGGAGGCAGGTTATTCCACTGATTAATTGTTCTAACTGTCAGGAAATTTCTCCTTAGTTCTAGGTTGCTTCTCTCTTTGGTTAGTTTCCATCCGTTGCTTCTTGTCCTGCCTTCAGGTGCTTTGGAGAATAGCTTGACTCCCTCTTCTTTGTGGCAGCCCCTGAGATATTGGAACACTGCTATCATGTCCCCCCTCGTCCTTCTCTTCATTAAACTAGACATACCCAATTCCAGCAACCGTTCCTTATATGTTTTAGCCTCCAGTCCCGTGATCATCTTTGTTGCTCTCCTCTGTACTCTTTCTAGGGTCTCAACATCTGTTTTACATCGTGGTGACCAAAACTGGATGCAGTATTCCAAGTGTAGCCTTACCAAGGCATTGTGAAGTGGTATTAACACTTCACATGATCTTGACTCTATCCCTCTGTTAATGCAGCCTAGCACTGTGTTGGCCTTTTTGGCAGCTGCAGCACATTGCTGACTCATATTTAAGTGATTGTCCACTAGGACTCCGAAATTCCTCTCACAGTTACTACTATTGAGCAAGGTACCACCTATACCAGGGGTAGTCAACCTTGGCTCTTTTATGACTTTGGACCTCAATACCCAGAATTCCTGAACCAGCCATGCTGACTCAGGAATTCTGGGAGTTGAAGTCCACAAGTCATAAAAGAGCCAAGGTTGCCTACCCCTGACCTATACTATACCTGTACATTTGGTTTTTCTTGCCTAAATATAGAACTTAATTTTTTCACCATTGAATTTCATTTTTTTAGCGCCCAATGTTCAAGTCTGTCAAGATCCTTCTGTATCTTAAGCCTATCTTTTGGAGTGTTGGCTATTCCTGCCAGCTTGGTGTCAGCTGCAAATTTGATGAGTTCCCCATCTATCTCCTCATCCAAATCATTGATGAAGATATTGAAGAGCACTGACCCAGAACAGAGCCCTGGGACACCCCACTACACATTCCCTCCATGTAGATGCAGTTCCATTGAGGACCACATGCTGAATATGGCCTATCAGCCAGCTACAAATCCATCTGGTGGTGATGCTGTCTAACCCACATTTTTCTATCTTATCAAATAGTAGGTTATGGTCTACTTTATCAAATGCCTTACTGAAGTCCAAGTAAATTATATCCACAGCATTCCTCTGGTCCACTAATTTCGTCACCTGGTCAAAGACTGCAATAAAATTTGTCTGGTATGATCTATTTTTGACAAAACCATGTTGGCTTTAGGCTTTTCACCCAATTTTAATTACATCAGCACATCCTGTTTTCATATGGCAATAATTTTGCAAAATTATATTTGATTTTGGCGCATACTGCACAGAGGTTGTGCTGTTACCACTTTTCACTTTTGTATTGTGTATTTCAGAAATCTTTAATTTTGGGACCCCTGCCAATTGTCTAGGTTGCCTAGACCTAAAACCAGCCTTGCTTAAGTCTCTTTAATACATAGAAGCATAAAAGCCAGCTGTGTGACTTTGAACTGGACGTTCTCTCTTAACCCAACCCTCCTCATAGGGTTGTTGTGGAGAAAATAGGAGGAGGAAGGAATATTAGGAATATTATGTGTGATCAATGCCTTGGGTTACTTATAAAGGTGGGATTTAAAAAAAAAAACTAACCACCTCCCCCCTCCCCCCACTTTTCAAACTAAACTGTCTTTTCTGCTGAATCAAGCATGAGTGGAAAGAACATTAAAGCCCCTGCCAGGATAAATCATGTGCAATTCATTTTGTGAATGCATTTCAGAAAATATGGCAACTGATGTAGCTCGATAACTTGAGCAATGACGTAGATGAGCATGACCAAGAACTTTTACATTTGGCATGCCAATCTTAATTGAGTTCCTCCATAAACCAAAAATTGGGTTGACTTTGGTGTACCCTAAAAAGGGGGGGGAACGAGCTCTGTTATTTCCAGTTGAAACTGGAAGATTGGAGAATACAGAGGGATACTTGCCTCCCAGAGTCCCTTTGGATAACAAGACAGGCAGGATATAAGTACATGAATACTTGTCTATATTAAAATATTACTGGTGATTTTGATAACTGGCTAAATCAAGATGCAGAAAAGCTCTAGGTGGATTTTTTCCCCCCAATAATCCCAATTCTGACTTCTAGTCAAACAATTCTATCAGATATAATGAAACATTTATTTTGGTATGAATGAGAAACTTCAGAATCTCCAGCCACAAAGAGCTATCATGATGGAATTCAATCAGAATAATGGTGGCTAGAAGGACCAAAAATGCTTCTGGGCATAATCTCTGGCATTCTTGGGCTCCTGTCCTATCTGATTTTAAAGTTTGCTTTTTTTTTTTTTCAAGGATGTCCCTGGGCTCTTTCATAAACCATCATGGCATAACAAAAATAATGGCTTGCTACCAGTTAGCAAACAAGGTAAATGAAAATTGTAGACTGTTAGAACATCCTAGAAGGACTAGAAAAGTGGCAATCATCAACCTCATTGTATTTTGTTAAAGTGTGGTCTGTGACTTGCCATATGCACCAAGCAGCCATTTTTGAAAATCAGCCAACCGCTAAAGTTTATGAGGACACATAAAGCACCCTTTTAATATTCTATAGATGCCAAAAGTTGTGTGGCCTTGAATCGCACAAAGAGAATCTTGTTCTTGTACAACTTCAGTTGAAGAGATGACTGCTCCAAGATAGTTTAGTTCTTTATCACATTAA